GTCATCCGGGGAAGGTTTCACCCGTCCTCTGGGCTTAATGGAAGTCCGATTTCGTGCAATTTTGTGAATTTTGTGCATTTGGTGTGTGTATGTGACGAAAAACTCGTGATGATGTTTTCCTAGGGCTTGGAATCCTATTAGGAACTTTTCCCTTGAGTCTTCACAAAATAGTTCATAACCGCTCGTTCATACGACGATGGTCTTATGCCATAAATGTTAGACATCAAAGAAAAATAGGAAGTGGTTAGAATTTCTAAAAGGGTGGGTCTCAATTCTAGTTTTCTAAGATAGTCAATAGGAACTCCTAGAGCTAGATCCTAAAACCTTAAGGAAAAAGAAATGACCTCAAAAATGAGGTCAACATCAGATCCTACAGACTTTCCACCATTGGTTTCTTTTTTACTAATGCGACAGCAAAAAGTAAAACGTTTTATTATTATTCACGATATTAAAATCACTAAGGGCGATCGTATTTTCATAACCTTCATTAAAAAGTTTATCAAAGTAACTCACTCACCTATGTTGAATATTTTTTTCTAAGAAAAGTACTTTTTTATTTTCATCTTTAATACACTTTACTTGAGTTAAATCTTTACTTTTCTTTTTTTTTTGTTTGGCTAGTTTATACATATATTTTTCACCCTCCTTAGTATCTAATCCATTATAAAGATCATTAAAAGCAGAATTTTTAGCGTCATAAATTGTTCTTTTAGACTCCCCGCGGGCCGTTTAATATTTTTCTCAGTTCTATAAACTTTTACATTTAAACCAATTTTTATAACATAACTTCTTATATTTTATTTTTTTTTGCACATTATTATTCCACCACCAACTATTTTTATTTATAAAAATTTTTTCTTTTGATTCTCCAAGCACATTTTTTGCTACTTGTTTAATATTGTTTGTTATTTTATCCCACATAACATTTGCTTCTTCATGAATATCCCAAATTTTGGAATCTTGAATTTTACTCATAAAAATAATTTTATGTGTCTTTTAATTTTCTCCATCTAATTCTATGATGAAAATCAAAATTAAAGTTGTATATTAAATAGATAAAAATTAAAGTTGTATATTATATATCTCTACAAGGGATCATTTGACTGGTGCCTTCACAAAGAAACTAAAAACATAACTTCAGAAGATTATTAGCAAGCTAGTGATAGAAGATAATTATTCAGCAAATTGAGAGAGTTATGGATCTTCTTATTATAGGAACCCACAATTTTATCTCAAATATTCATGAAAAGAAAAAAAAATCAAGATAGCAAGAACTTAAAGCATAGAAAAAAATCAAAATTCCATGAATTCAAATCATGAAAAAAATTAGAACCTATTTTTAAATCTATATTTATTTACATGATTATAAATATTTTCTTATTTTATTACTACACCAACTTATAGAATGTCTTATATCAAATACTTAACTGAATTAAAAAAAAATCTTTAGTACCACAATGCTCCCCACCAGCACAAAAAAAAGGAAATAAAATCACTAATTAGTCTAAGGATACGAAGAAAATTTTAAAAAGTGAGAAATTATTAATCTTCCAAAATAAGGTTGTTAAAAGAGACAAAGTAAAAATTATTTAGGTAATTCAAGCATGATGTGGAATAAAATAGCTAATTCTATTAAAATGATTTCCCCAGAAGCCATGAGAGAGTCAAAACTGTCATGCACATAAAAGTAGACCTGAAGGTACAAGATATTCCTTTAAAAGGTAATAAATATGAAATACCAATAAGTGATGTAGTACAATTTTCAGTTTAAGTTTTAAAATGCAACAAGAATAATGCAATCAATGTAAATCATATAAAAATTTAAGAATTCATTGAGTAAATCAGGAATGACCATTAAATACACAAAAGCTTACTTTTTTTGGATACAAACAAAACACAAAAAATTAGAATCCAAATGATAATAAATCTAAGAAAATTAGAACAAGTTAAATGAATGAGCAAAAACAATTTCTTCACTACAATCAGAATTTTAGTTAATCAATTTAAGCACAGTAATATAATATCTATATATATATCTATAGTGCCAAACAGGTTTCATGCCAAAATAAGAAAATGATAACTTGTCTCAAAATTGGGTTGTCGCAATTTATACCACGTACTAAAAGAAATCAGAGATCAAACATGCACACATAAGATAAAAAAACTAAAATGAAAAAAAAATAAATTAAATCATTATATACCTCAAACCATCTATCTATAGATTTCTCATCTCTTGGTTAGTAAATATGATTAGCACAAGTTTAACACAATTCAATTAAAGATAATCTTAAAATTCAAACTTTGATTCCATCGTAAGCATCAAATAAAAATCATGTAGAAGTAAAAATAGCAATAATGAAGACTATAATATCATCAACAGACTATTACTATTATTATAATAATGAAGACTATAATTATTATTCAGCGGCACGGGTTTCTCTTGTGAAATCATCCTAAAGATGTGCGATTAAAAGAAAAGGGACAAACGGTGCGCTGAAACAGAAAGCAATTGAACCATAACTTAGAAAACCCTAACTTAACATTAAGCATGAAACTTTTCACAAATGTAAATAACCCATGTTCAAAAAAATAAAAAATAAAAACAGAGAATAGATACTGAAATGTAGAATTTAAACTTTAAGATCAAGCACAAACCACACTAATCTAATCCCACCTCAGACCATATAAACCAATCCGATAATAGAAGATAGAAAAAAAAAATACCATTCTCAAAGGCCAATATCATATATCATGTCCAAATAACTGCAAATTGCAATTACAAATTAACTACTAGATAATAAAAATTTGCTCAGGAATTTATTTATTTGCTCAATGCTCAGGCATTTATTTATTTGCTCAAGGTTTATGTTGAGGGAAAACTTGCACATCTCCATCATTAAGGCTAATAATAATTAAAAGAAAGTTAAAATAGGATACATATAGATAGACAGACGTGAACGCACGGACGCACACACACACGCAGCCCCGCACGTACTCACGCCCCAATATGCATCCGCACGCACAGAGGGATAGAGAGAGAGAGAGAGAGAAGCAAAGGTGAGAGATAAAGGATTTAAAAATATGAGAAGGATTAGAAACAAAGCAAATATAATCTTAATTAAGGACAAAAACATGAAGGAAATATAAAATAATTACTTTGAGAAATTATTGAATGGGAATTTCATAGAAGAAATTAATATGGAAAAGCATAAAGAGCAAAATAGTGATGCTCATTACAATTTGATCCAGTAAAAGAAGCGACGTCAGCTATGAGAATATGCATAAAGGTAAATTTTTAAGTCCATGTGAGATAGAGATGACAAATATTATAATGACTTGGTTAATAATCTTTTTCAATGAAATTTCGAAGATCAAGGGTCTGGTTGGGGCAGTTGTCGCGCAGCAGCTATGACAGAAAGCTGCTATGCAGCAGCTGACTATTTATTTGTTTTTTGTATTTGTGAAACAGCTGTGCTGCAGCTGTTTCTGAACAAATGATCTTTCTGCTTCTATATCATAGTGTTGTTAATAACAAAAGTATTCCTCTAAAAGCATCCACAAAACCATTGAACAATTTTTCATAACCCTAAGCCCAATTCAATGCCTCTACTCTATCAATTTCCCAAGGCCAAAAAATTGTTTTTATTTTGTTTTGCATCAAAACTACACATCCGAGAAAGAGGGCAAACCACCCAAACCGATCAAAACAAAAAATAGAGAGACCATATACCAGAAGGACATTCCCATCCTCAAAAACCACAGATGCCCCAAAAATTGAATGTGAGATGTCACAAATTACAATTCCAACCATTCCAGGGCCCTCAAATTTAAGATTCATTCATTTTAGGGGCCAGGAACAGAAAAAACAAGTCACAAAATGTCGTAAAATCACAAACCGAGTAGAGCAAGGAGCACAAACAACAAAAAGAAGGGTATCGGATACCAAAATCCATAATCCCATCATTTTGATAGCTTAATATCAATTTCACATGTGATAAAACGATAGAACGCATTGAGAAAGCCACGAATTCCAAATCAATCATAAATTGCAAAAATTATGATAGAGGATACCCTGAGAGAGGAAGGGAAGAGCAGCGGAGATGAGAGAGAGACGACTCGAGATAGGCAGCAGGGACGCGAAGGAGCAATGACAAAGAAACAAAGAATCTAGGGCAAAGACACAAAGGGCAGTGAGGAGAAAAACGAAACAAGAAACGCAGAGGGTGTTACACGCAGCCCAAGTTTACACCCGATTTAGCCCCGAAGCAGCCACACAATTGTTTCCAAACCCCCCACGAGAAAGCAGTTTCAAACCGCATTGCACCAAAATTGCCGCACCAAACAAGACCTAAGAGGATGCCAGTATCGAAAAAGCATCTCATATCAGAAAATATCATAGAAACAATAATTAATGAAAAAAATTTAGATGGCATAAAAAAGATTGTCATTTGGTTTATATCCATCTTAAAAAAGCACATGATTGAGTATCGCAAAAGTTGTTTTGAAGCACATTAAACATGCGTGTCAAAATTACATTGAAGTCATTAAAGAGATATATGAGACTACGCATCAACATTAACAGTTGCAGAGTGACTAAAGAATTTCCAATTATAATAAGATTGCTTCAAGTAGTAGTATTGAGTTCATAACTTTATATACTTTATAACATACTTACAAAAGCCATTTAAATTAAAGTTCCTAAGAAAATATAAATGGTAGATCAAAGGTTACATGAACTGAAATTGTAAAAAAAAAAAAAATCCCACAAAAAAAAAACTTCATTCAACAAGTAGCATTTAAGAAGAATGAACAGTTACTAAGTCATAAAACTGACCCTAAATAATCTGAATAGGGCTTATGGTGATAATGATGATGAATATCATTTAATAATGCAAAAAACATAGAGACAAAGAAAAAAAAAATTAAATAGAAAGCACTTCCAATTACTAAACTTATACTGTGAGAAAAACTAAGAAAGGGAAACTTAAGAGTAGAAATACCAGTGAGCTAGTGTTTGTATCATGCTGGTTACTTGTTCTGGTCTCAAATCCCTGCCAGCAGCAAATTGAACCTGTTCCGATAAAATGAATAAAAAATAAACTATCTTAGGTAGTTGTAATGACAAATATGGCTACAAGAGAAATTTTGTAGAAGATTCAAACCTCAAAACATCTGCGCAACTGATCGAGTTTTCCTCTAACAATTCCCTGCACGAACATCACAGTATAAGGAAAATTTAATAACATTTAGTTATCATAAAAAATGAATATAAATTACAAGGTACATATCAGTATAGAAAGACGGCATGGTATATAATTATATTTTCATAGGTTTTTAAACAAAATCATTTGTTTTCAAAAATTAAAATAACATTTTGGAGCCACTTCATCTTTGAAATAGAGATGCCTGATCTTTATAAAGGGCGTAGGATAGACCAGACCATGGGACAAACATTTGCAGGAGTTGGATCAAGCCCAGTTTCAAGACTTGCCGGTCATTCTAACTCATTGCATCTTTTTCATGTTTATAACTACCCCCTTCAAAATGAATTATTAATCAATCTCAAAAAAACAGTAAACCTTCACATATTCATTTTCCGGAGCACCACAAAATAAAAATTGTTCCTTTTCTGACGCATGATCAATAAATTTCATGTAGAGAGCCTTTTGAATCGTGAAAGATGGACAACTGAGACATGTTATGGTGCAAGTTTCACTCAAAGGAATGGAACTCCCATCTTCATGGACAGTGTTTCACATATCTTGAGGCACACTTAGGTTTTTTCAACTTGAACTCTTTAAATAACAATAACATAACATATGAGTAATACTTATCAAAAACTAAAAAAGCAGAATATGAATTTGTTATGTTTACAGCTAAGCTCATGCCCAATGTTACTGAAATAGAATAGTTCTCTGGACAATTTTAATAAATGGCAGACCAAGAATAAGTTCATCATCAAAATAGCTAAATTTGATTAAAAATATGAGAGATTTTAAAAGAGTGGACTAGTGAGAAAATTTATAAAACTGTATTTTGAATACACTTTCCACTGAGCCTTTTAATGTGTATTAGATGTTTAACCAGCTACTGATATAGGAAATATCTTCAAAAAGTTAAACGCTCTTGAAAATGCTGGACCAAAGAAAATGTGTGGAAGGAAATTTCCTAGAAGTTCAAATGGCTATGCTAAAAGGATATCTTCTCAAGTATAGAAATTTCATCTTCTCATAGGCAAACTTTTAAATTAGGATACCAATATCCTGAAACCTTTTGTTGCAACTGATGTCCGACCCGTTCGGGGAGCTTGGAGTTAATCAAGACAAGAACATACGGTGAAAGTAATATTTCTAATCAATTACAACAATCCACAATAACATTCAACTATAAAAGAATCACTTTTCCACAAGACATAAACACACATCAACCAACAAAATACATAAAATTTTTCAACTTGATACAATAACACAATGAAAGTGACAAAACATATAAACAAAACAATCTACTACCGATTTTCAACAGTTCATCTCCTATCTAATACCACTTTTGTCACTGCTCGACCCAAAAACTTGGAGAAATAATGTAAGAATGAATATTCAGACAATGACAATAAATATTTTAAATAGTAACATTAGTCAACAATATCATCAACTATAAAAGAATCACCAATCCACAATATGCAAGTAAACACACTTAAAAAAATACATAAAATCATCCAAATCGATACAGTAAAACAAGCAATATACAATAAAAGTAACAAAACATATAATTCAAATATAAAATTCAACCGTCTACTATCTATTTCTAACAATTTTTGTTCTCCTATAAATAAGTTCCCTCCTATCAGTTATATCAATATAGCATAACTACTTTTTGAAAGAACAATTAAATAATAAGATAAGTTTATAACAATTTAGTAAATAACTACAACTTTATTATGCACTAATTTTTTTATACATATGTCTAACATGAATGCTCAAACAAAGAATTTGATCAATCTATCAAATAAACTTTACATTTTTTTTATAAAAATATTTATTTAATTATCTTAATCAATTACATTTTTTATTTATTTTCCTTCAAGTCATCTTAGGAGTATGGGAAAAAATTTATGACAATAAAAATACAACATTTATCATTTCTTTTATAGTTTTTTACCCACAAATATATAACCATTACAATTTTACCTATCATTTTGTACCAAGAAAGATACAATCAATCTATCAAGTAAACTTTACATTTTCTTTTTCATTTTTTCCTTTAAGTCATCTCAGAAGTGCCGTGAAAAATTTTACCAATAAAAATACACATTTACAATTTCTTTTACCATTTTTTATCAACAAATGTAAAACCATTATCATTTATCGATCATTTTGTACCAAGAAAGGTACAACCATTATCAATTTTTAAACATTTTGTACCAATAAGAGAGTGAATCCTGATAAACTTACTCATTTATCTTTCATTTAACTTATATTTTTTGTACAATCATTAAATTTATTTAATTTATTTTGTGTGTGTGTGCGCGCGCATGCGAGCACACTTTTAATTAATATAAATGATATTAAAAAAAATAAAGTGAAATAATAAGCTTATAAAGAAGTATCCTAAACATTAATTTAAGTCATTCTTGTATTATTTGCTTTAAATTTATTTTCTTTTATTTAAAGGTATTTGTGCTCTAAAAAAAAGATCAAGTATTTCTATGATTGAAATAAATAACGGAAAAAATAAAATCATTGCTTCATCTTTTGCATTGCACAAAATGTAAAATAAATAGTTTTATTGATTTAAAAGAAATTAAATATAAATTAAATGAAAGATATACAATTAAGCCCTTATCATAATATTTTTAAAGCGTGGTTTGAAGCGCGCTTCAAAAGCAAAATGAAGAAAATCGTGTGACGCCTACTTTGCCTCTGAGATATGTTGAAGTTAATTTGAAGATTTATTTTGCAATTTTTATGTTTTAAATTATTTCAACAAACTATAACAAATTATTTGCAATTTTAATTTGCAGGTTTAACCTTAATATTTGCATCAAGTTATACATTAATAGTTTTGTATAAGCTATTAGCGTTTGGTTGATAAAAGAGCTGCTTCGCTCTGCACTTTGCAATTGAAACAAAAAAAAAAATTTTGCACATTGTATTGTGTTTTGTGCTTTGAAAACATTGGCTAATAGGAGTCAATTCTTAATAATACTAGCGGAAGACATTATTGTACTCGGACATGTTAAAAAAACTATATTAATGGTTATACCCTTAGTACAAAATGAATAAAGAAATAATGATTGTACTTTTATTAGTACAAAATTATAAAGAAAATGATAATGGTTGTACCTATATTAGTACAAAATACTAAAAGAAATGATAATGATGGTACAATTTTTGGTATAAAATGATAAAAAAAAATTATAAAAGATGTACCTTAATTGATGCAAATTTATTACAGTGCTCCTATGATGTTTTTTAAAGAAAAAAATGAAAAATGAAATTAATTAAGAAAATGAAAATGCAATCGATTATCATGCTGAAATAGTAAAAGAAATGATAATGATTGTACCATTATTTATATAAAATAATAAAAGAATAATAAAACTAACTTAATTGGTACAAATTTATTAAGGTACTCATATGATGTTTTTAAAAGAAAAAAATGAAAAATTAAATTAATTAAGAGAATGAAGATACATTGTATTATTATGCTGAAATAAATTTTTTTATTTAAAAAAAGTAAAGTTTGCTTAATATATTGATCAACGTATTTCTTTGAATATTCATTAAGCATAAAAAAATTTGATGTACACTAACACAGTAATTATCTACTAAAATTTTGTAAACTTAACCTATTACTTAATTGTTCTTTCATGAAAAACTCCGTTAAACAGATATGACTGATAGGACAAACTTTATCTATAGAAGAAGATAAACTCTTGAAAATAGTTAACAGACTATTAAATTTTATGCTGTCATTTTTATTATATTACTTATTCTACAGAGTATCAAACGGGATGATTTAAAGTGTGTTGTTAGAGGATGTTTGTTTATGTAGTATGGATTAGTGACTCTTTCATAGTTGAATGTTATTATGAACTAATGTTACTATTTAAAAATATTTACTTTCACCATTTGGCCATCCGTTCTCACCTTGGTTAACACTAAATTCTAAGGCCGGGTTGTGACAACTGCACTAGTGGAAAAATTACCAAATTAATAATAAAGAACACAAGAATGGGATGATAATAAAAGGGCAACAAGATATTAGAGACAACAAGTAAAAGGAGAAACAAAAGAAGGCACATAACTTTACTTCAAAGGCTAATTTTGTAGAATGGAGTGATAACAATTCAAGAAATATCAAGAATTCTTACCATGCAAAAACAAGGAACAAACATTTTAAGGCAATAAATAAATAAATAATAATAAATAAGATAAATCAACTCATTGTGCTTGACAATACAAGCTCAGTAAAAGTTATGCCAAATTCAAAGAAGAACTTGCTAGAAATTGAAGATAAAATAGTTGCTTTGATCACTAAATGGAACCTAATGGAAGAAATAGAAAGGGAGATTGAATCTAGAGCAACATAGACAATTTGAGCCGATGCGAACTACTTCACCTCTTTCACTTATAGCAGGAGAAATACAAGTCTTCATAGGAGATTCAAGGCCCACATATGTTGTTAAAACGGGAAAGACTAACCTCATGCTAACTTTAAGAAAAGCCCTTACCTTATGGATGTGTTACATGTTCCTTAAATTAGATAATTTTAATTCAATCTCAATTCCAGGAGAAGTTTTGTTAAAAATTATGTTTGAGACTTATAAGGTTGCATTAACAAAAAACAGCTTATTTGTGGAAAAAGAGCACTTTGCAACAATGGCTTGGGCACTTTTAAGATTTTTAAGTGTAATGTCTTACAGAATTTAAGGTTAAAAGTTAAACAGCTTTCATTCAATGAATAAAAAATCTTCTTATGTTCAACAGTCTGGATTCATGGAATTGAAGATTATGAAAATGTTAATTTTCTTCCATTAAAAAAAATGAAAGAGCAAGGAATTAGGAAGGATATCTTATTTCAGCCTTAGAAAATGCCAAACATGCCAGATTTAATAGTTTGATTTAGGTGATAGTAAAATTCATGTCTAGGGATGCCGATACCTTTATTGATGAATTTAATTGATACTCACAGATATGAAGATAAA